GCCCCATCATTCCAGCTATCCTTGGCAAGGGTGCCACAAATAGCATCAAACAGCTTCTTCTGAATGCGATGCCAGGCATGATGTTGCAAGCTTTACCAAGCACATCGTGAATGCTCATCCAGCAAAAAGGGGTGGCTAGGCCAGGCAGCTTTGAGGAGGTGCCTGTGCGACCACCTGATGATGCACCAATGGAGATCAATGGAGCAGGAAGAGTCGGGCAAAGCTTCCCAAACAGTCCAGAGGACACGTTCCCGAAAGTTTTGCGCAGTGATTCCTCAGGCATATTTACGCACATGCATCAGATGAGATTTCATGACGCGTCACCCATTGGAATTTGAATTGGTCAGGGGACCGGCGCTGAGGGCTTGGCGCGGCATTTAACAGCGCAGAAACCACGTGTCACAACTCACAACTACCGAGAGATCTCCAGAGCCCAGTTAGCAAACATCGATGGACACTTGCTGACAAAGTTCTCAAAGTCTTGGCAGCTCAAGTTCCTTGCAATTTGATACATTTTCCATAAAATAAAATCACTTTCGCAATTTCAGTGTAAGGCTTGTTGATGTTTGTTGGCACCTTTGGAGGTCCTTCCCAATCCTGCAAGATCCTGAAAAAGTCTCCTGCGAGATTTGGGTCGTCTAAAATCATGGAAAACATGGTCAAAACAGTCAGTTTAATATCGTGTAGTGCGTCATAAGACCTCATTGGCTTCCAAATGCTTAAACAAGTGTTTCTTCGTTTTGAGCTCAATTTGAATCCATCTTTTGAGCCTTTCCCGTTGCATTTTGAGCTTCAATGTTTTCAGGGGGCAGGTGTTGACGCTTGCTGTGGCATTGAGCAGCGCAAAAACCACATGTCACAGTTACACACCGCCACCCAGAGAACTCCAAAGCCGAAAGTTTGCAAACATCGATGGACACTGTTTGACAACCACTCTCGTCTTAGAAGTGCAGTTTCCTGATGTTTCCGTTCAAAAGGAGGTACCGGGGTACATTGAAAGATATTGAAAACGCTTGCGCGCTTTCAATCACTTGCAGTCTAAGGCTTTGCTGCCACCTTCAATGATCCTGTGTGGTCCTGTCAGGTCATGTAAGATGCTGTGAACCGTGCCTGCAAGACTTGGATAGCATAATCCAATGTTCTGCATCATAAGACACCATAAGCTCTTCGCACGTTTAAACAACTGCTTGTTCTTTTGAGCTCAAGTTGAACCTTTTTTGAGCTTCCCCCATTGCATTTTGAGCTCTAAAAGTGTCAGGTGGCAGGTGTTGAGGCTTGCTGTGGCATTGAGCAACACAATAACCACATGTCAGAGCCACACACAGCCACCCACAAAACTCCAGCACCCAAAGTTGGCAAACATAGGTAGGCACGTCCTTTTCCTCTTCGTTTTTCTTGCATCACCACCCCCTATAAGGTTTCTTTTTGGTGGCTAGCCAACCCTGACATGGGAAAGCTACGGATTCATACCAATTTCACGTGGAAAGTATGGGTTCATGCCGGCTGCGCGTCCGGAACTTCATGGCGCCCAAAAAAACAAAAACAGGGGATGAATATGCTGGTTGGGTGCAATATGGTGCAGTCAGATTTTTGCATGGTTTGTTGAATGATTTCTTGTGTTCACGCATGTTCATGTCTTCGCTGGCTACTTTAGACTTGTAGTATCGCCTGTTTTGTCTTGGTCACGTTTTGATAAGTAGTTTGTGATGCTTTTGGGGCATTCATTGCATTAGTCTTGTTGGTCTTTGCCAAGAAACATAGTATAGTATAGTCTGTCACAGCCATAAAATATGAGACGTGATCCGGAGAAGCTCCAAGACAGGATCGCGAATGACGAATGACGAATCAGGTCTTAAGGTTAGAGGGACAGACGACGAATCACGAATCACGAATCACGCTCAGGGTCAGGGGTCTCAAGGCTAGAGTAAATTTCGTGGCAGGGGCAGCACTTTGTGAGCCCTGAAGTGCAGATTTTGTGGAAGGGGCGGCACTTTGTTGACCCTAACGCGCAGATTTCGTGGCAGGTGCAGCATTTTCTGAACTCTGAAATGCAGATTTCGTGCCTTTGGATGACATTCTTTCCAACGCACTGGATCGCAAGAAGTGTCGCGAAATCCAGAAGGATGTTTGCTTGCATTTGCACGCAAAATGATATACATATAAATATCCTGATATGTATGCGCATGTATGCGCACACACACACACACATGTGCACATACATACATGCGTGGACTTCCATCCGTGCGCAAACCAGAAAAGAGGGTGAAGGATAGTACAGTCTTTTTTTAGAGGTTGTAAAACTCTCAAGAGCACCCCAGTGCCTTTTGCAAAACGCCAGGCCTTCAACTTTCAACACCTAGTTTATCACAAGCTTTTAAAAGTAGGTGTTTTCCATTGAAGCTGGTGATGTTGGGGCTGGAACTTGCTTTCGGCAAATGGAGCATGTCTTTCATGGTCTTTCAAGCTGGCCAATCCAACGACTTCATAAGGTCAATGAGAAGCCCTAGCTGCCCCAGAAGGTCCTAGAAGCATGGGTGAGAAACTGGCGAATCGTTCAACCTTAATTAGTCATGAAAGGCCATTGCTGTTTTGTTCTCTTTTGCTTTATAGTTTCAGCACTGTGGACATGATATGACAAAATAGTTTCTTATCATGTTCCTCGCTGCACTACACCTGACCAGTGCAGGCCTCCCGTCGGTGGCTGTCCTTTTCCTTTTCTGTTCCTCTTCCTTTTCCTTTTTCATTTGTCTTTGTCCTTTCCTTGTCCTTTTCCTTCTCCTTTTCCTGGTCCTTTCCTTTTCCTTAGCTTTTCCTTTTCCTTTTCTGTTCCTCTTCCTTTACCCTTTCCTTGTCCTCACCCTTGTCCTTTTCCTATCTGTTCCTTTTCCTTTCCCCTTTCCTTTTCCTTTCCTTTTCCTTTCCCTTTTCCGTTTTCTTTTCCACTTTTGAGCTTTGTTCTTTTTGAGCTCAATTTGAATCCTTCCTTTGAGCCTGTCCCACTGGAAATTGAGCTTTAAAGTAGTCAGGGGGCAGGTGTTGAGGCTTGCTACCCCATTGAACAGTGACCACGTGTCAGAGTTGTCTTTGTCCTTCTCCATCTCCTTTTCGTTTCCTTTTCCGTGTCCGTGTCCTTTTCTTTTTCTCTTGCTTTTCATGTTCTTTCTTCCTTTTCCATGATCTGTATGCAAAAACATATACTGTATAACTCTGTATACATACAAATCTTACAAACAAAATAGCTAAAGAAAATGGCTAGCCACCACGCACCCCCCCCATGGCCCATTAACCATTTAGTTAGGAGGGTGGATGACCGTGGTGCATAGTTCAAAGCCTATATAAATGTTGTTCCTTTAAAAGAGCCACCCGCCGGTAGGGTTCGGCGGGTTCCAAGCAGCTTCCGTGGGTAACTCTTTTTTGGAAGCGCGAGGCTAGACAATTTTTTGATTGGTTTTATCTTTATTTGGCGGTTATTGCGACAAGGAGGGAGCGAGGTGTGAGGAACCCGACCTGCTTCTGGAGAAGGTGCCGCTCAACGAATCAACTTTGCATCCCATCTTCCAACATGTCTGCCAGCTCCCAACAAGCTGCCCAAACACCTGCTGCCGAAACTCCTGACGTCTGTCCCAGGCTCATGTGGAGTGCACCGGGCTCCTTGACTCTCCTTGTCTCGCGCCGGCTCTCCTACTAGACCTCCTGCTGAATCTCGAGAACGCTCTCTCGCATCCCTAGGAGTGTCGTATTTCCACCCTCTGCTCCTTTCACCTTCCTCAGGGGGGGCTGCGCCCGTTTCAACCAGGGAGGCGGCCCCTCCGGCCGTCTCCGTCCTTTCTAGCTTCTGCCTTCCATCCCCCGGCTGTGTAGGAGACAAAAGGGGGAGCATAGCAGGGATCAAGATCTTGATCCAACATGGCACCGCACGCGCTCGTCTTAAACAGCCACTAAGTACAACACTTTGCACAATCCGTGAACAGTTTCAGAAGTATGAGGAGTTTCGAAATAGGACCTTGGACCTTGATCCTATCGGTGCTGTGCCACCGCACGTAGAGCCCCAAGACGTGCTCTCTTGTCCAAGATCTTGGATCCTCTCAAGCAACATACTCAAAGCCAAACAATCCTGAAGGAAAGCAACGTTGACCCAATCATAACAAACCAACATGTAAACATCCGCATGGTGCTTGTGAATGAATGAATTCCTGGGGATTTGCCAACATATTTCGACAATGGCAAAGTATTTTCCAAGACATTGATTGCGGAATTGCGGACCACAAAACTCCCAAATAACGATAATCCTTAGCCACAATCGACAAGCGATTGGGCCATGCGTCGAACCCTACTGAAATCTTTGGTTTCACAACTTCCGCTGGTGATGAGTCCTCGATTTTCCATCAAAGAGCGATCTTCCTGCACAAGAGACTCCATGATATCAAGAACTGGTTTCTGAGATAGTACCCACCCAAGTTCTCTGACAACCCAATCATTTGCCCCAACTAACACACGGTCTGTGGCATCAGCGTGATTTGACGCCGAGGCAAACGAGTTCACACTTTCAACTGTCATCCGCACAATTTCTGCCTCTCGGTTGCTCAGCATCATATCCGTAGAGGCACCCTGCTTTTGCCACAGATCCTCCATCGTCTCTGAGATCCTCAGCGCACCACGCGACCGTACCGACACCGTCCGTACCGATCGGACGGTCCGTACCGCCCACGGTTCCTCTGAGCTCACGGCTGGAAACCCATCACCCTCTTACCGACCTAGGAGACGGACGAGACGCCGTGCGGACCCGATGAACAGCCTAAAAGGCACCAAACACGTTCCAAACGAGAAGCATGACAAACAGTCGTTCAATCAGGTTTAATGCCCAGTGGCAAAGTTGAAAGCTGCGGTGACCAACAAATTTGAGCTTGATCCAAAAAATACTTAAGAAAGCAAGGCCCGATTGGGAACGAACAACCATGCAAGGCAGGTGCATTATCGTCATGCAAAGCATGACTACCTTATCAGCCTTGGAGAAAACCTGCAAAACAAATGGTGCATATATTTTCATATGGAGTACTGCGCTGCAAGACCAAGAAGTCATCCGAGGACCTTCCGAACACAAAAGAAAACCCACAAATTCGTCCATACCAGGTTCCGTCCGTTGCCTTTGAGGTTGGTATGATGAGACGTCTCTTGTGGCATTTGTTCGGCACAACAGCCACAAAAGCCTTTAGATAGAATCACCTTTGCGACACGTGCCCCAAAAAAGGCAGGTTTTCTCTTGGGGTGTCTTTCCCTCTTTGGGATCTATGCTCGAAACATTTTGTTTTTGGCAGGGAAACATCTATAATCATACATATATGTTACACCTTCAGTTAATATGTTCTTTTAAACCTATCACTAATAAACATAAATATAAAGAACTCTAAATAAACTATATATATAATTACTCTTGACATTGACGTATGATATCGTAAGATGATGTATGAATATATTAGCTTCTTTTATCTATTGCAGGACTATTCTGCTGCATCTGCAGCTTCTGGTTCTTGGACTGGGCTGGGCTCCTGGGCTGGAGTTCTCTCAAGCGTTGTCCAAACCTTGAACAACTCAGCTACCAAAAGCTTTCTTGAATAAAATTTGTGCTCAAATTGAGCATATTGTCTGAACAAGGAACATGTGGTGGGTTTTGCTCTGGTTCGCTCTCAAGTTCTCGTTTGGTCACTTGGCACAATCATCTGAATCCCCCAAGCTTAGACTCTGCCATCAAGTTTCCTTCTCCCTCAATCGCCTCAATCGCCCACACACACACACACACTCACACGCACCAATAATGGGGCAGCACTTTCCATATTCTTGCATCGCACGTCTTCCCAATCCAGCAGAACGGAAGGCTCCTTCGCTATTTCCTTGGCCTCCTCCATTTCGTGCTCCCCCTGGCCGGCTCAGCAAAAAGCAGCTCGAATCCCGGGAATGAACTTTGTGCTACTCTGATCTTGTCAAACATCGAATTGAGTCTCCATCATCAGCTGTTCACAAAAGGCCCTCTGTGAGCACAACATGCTCAAGACGTGGCATCTGCAGAAGCAGAAACCGATCAAAAAACCATTTTGGGTATATTCATGTATTATATTCCATTACCATTATTCCATTGCCAGTAACAGTGGATGATCAACTACTAAGCCAACTAAGCCAGATCTTCACTCTTGGGATCCCAAACCCCTGATCTGTCTCCAGATCGCTGGCGGAACATCGGGGCGCGCGCTTCTCTCCCCAAGTCCCTGGGCAAATAGGGGACGTACAACCATTTCAACCTAACAAATGTTCCGCAATTGTTCAACATTGTTCAACTGGACCTGAGATCACTACTTGGACATGAGCCACATTATGCCACATGAGTTTTTTGAAGTGCACCCTGGGGCAACGACCTCTCCATTTCGCCATCCTCCAAGTTACCTTAGCCATGAAGTCTAGGTGAGTTGGAGCAGGTCACTTGTCCCAGTATTTTGGGCCGGAACCATTTACACAATGCAACTGCCACTTGCAAGAGTTGCTGCTCTTCAAAGCTTCAGCCAAGTTGCCCTCCGAGTCCTGCCCAAAGTAGCAAATCACAAGGGCCACCTCAATTGCCCCCAAACTGGCAGGTTGCCGATGTGTAGCCAGCAGTGGAGTATTCGGCCGTGGAAAAAACATGGTCCAAGCAAGAAGCTCCAAACAAATTGGCCGTATCAGGGAGTTTGTACTTGGCTGTGGGCAACCAATGTCTTTCTTGGATCTACTTTGCTCATGGTGTCTGCTTTCGTCTCATCTCAACTTAACTCGTGTGCTGAAAGGCTCCGGCTCCAGTTGCCATCGCCAGCAGGGCCAAGAAGATTTGGCTCGCTGAGTGGGCACTCTCACTGCGGCAAAGGAGCAGGTTGCGAAGGGCTCTAAGGGTCTGTCCTTGACCTAGTCTTGATTGGGTAGTGCATAGACATCCAGTCCAACTCAACCATGGTCCAACTATGACCCAAGATTGGTTGAGACATGTTGAGACCTACTCTGCTTGAATCCAAGTTGCACCAGCACTCAATCCATGGACTCCGAAGGCACCTTACATCCAATGTTTGCAGTCGTTCTTCTGGAGGACCCTGGCACAAGCGAGAATCATTCCGAATCTCAGGTGAGCGCGCACGGAGGAGACGAGCATGCACCGAGGAGACGAGGGGTGAAACTGGTTCTGCCAAACGACAAAACGACCAGAAAAAGCAACTTCAAACAAAAACTGTTTGAAGGCCTTGGTTCTGCAAGCTCCTTGTTGCTACTAACAAGAAACACGTTCATATTACTAAAAGAACGAAGGTGAACTACTCTCACAAACGCCCAAACACTCGCCATGCCTGCGGTGCACCAGTGATTGACCCTGACACACCTCAACAAAAGCCCGGCAAACTCGTGCACAGGTTCTTGAAAAAACAAAAGGCAACAAACTCAGCAAGCCAGTCTTCCGAACAACACTTCTCACCTTTTTGACCTTCAAGCAAAAACCGAGGTCTGGAACCACAGTTGCTTAAAAAAAACACACAATCTTTATGTTGAGACGCCCAGGTTCCTAGCGGGGCTCCAGCGAGATCCCCTGTAGGTGGAGCATGTGTCTCACCTGATCAAAGCGGGATGAGCAGCGCATATCTCGCAAAGAACCTGAAGCGATCCTGTCCTTTCTGAGCAGCTCTTGTAAAAGGCGTGACATGCCGCTATTTTAACACTTCTGTACCCGGCTCTTAGGGCATAGAAGTCCCGAGGGGTAGCCTAGCATAGGCCCTATCATAGGGGGGGTCCTACTCGTAGTATTCATGATAATATTTGCTATGATAATATATTATTATGAAATAACTATAGTTATTTTCAGGCAC